AAATACTGTGCTTCATCCAGAGAAAAGTAACCAGATATGTCACAACAGATTAGTCCGCCCACCATCCAACCTCCTCCAACACCCACACACGGTGCCGCTCTCACATCTCGTCTTTATCCCCCCGTCTTTTTTGTTTTTTTACATCCAATGGATTTGTGCGATGGGAATACTAAAAACCTCAACCTGAACATTACTTTTAAGAATATTCAGTCTTCTAAAAACATAATTCGTCCAGGTGTAAGCTGGTTTTTTTGGGGCTCGGCTTTTTGTTTCCTTCGATCGAACCAACCAAGACGACGCATTTTGGGTGAAATTGGAGGCCAGACAGATCGCGTGGCGCTCGCATTTGCAGTGTTACAAACTATACCTTTGTGTCGATATTCCTGCCCACTTTTATTGGGTTGGACATTTTATGTGTGTTTTTGTCTTCCCGCTTTTATAAGAATACATTCAAGCAACCTTTTATTTCTCATCCTCACACCACAGAAAACAGCAGCCATCAATCCGTCTGATCCTCACCAACAAATTGCCCGAACATGTTGATGATCTGTAAGCAGCTGTTAGCAGCTCTGCTGCAACAATGTGATCGAACTCGTCTTACATCATCCGCTCACTCTGCCTGAGGGAAGTGGCTGTGCCCTTATGGAAGCAACAGAACCCTCCCCGAGTGTAATGAAATGCCACTTCTTCAGTCGCCCCTTTTAACGAGACAAAACAACGGTCGCAAAGAGCCGCGACTGTCGTCTTGTCGTGAGTGCATCGTCACAATGTTCCGTTCTTTTTTTTCGCGACGCTTCCCGAAAAACCCCCGTGAATGCTTTCATGTTTTGGAGGAACTTCAAAATTACTGCCATCGTTTTACTTTGTTGTATGACCTAATTCTGTCAAAACATTCCAGCATAGACAGAGAGTTGTAGATAGAAATGGCAGTTACTTTAAACGCGTTCTCCCTTGAAGGTGAAAACTTATTGTGCTTATTACCGAGTATGAGTGACGAAAGACATTTCAGAAATGTGAATATATAAAATAATGTGAATAAATAGAGAGCGAGCGGCAGTATACCTGCAATAAAGAACAATTTGAGGTGGATTGGTGTGGCAGGTAGTTTGTGTTTACTTCACACGGTGGTCGATACATCGTCGTATGGCGTAGAAGTGACACTAGAGCCACGACCTTGTGACAACGTTGAATGATAATGAAACAAACAGTATTCACAGACATCCTTAGTTTTTGGCAAACATTTCCCCCGTGTCAACGGGCCGGGGGTCGAACTGTCCAACCTTGTGATTACAGGATGACATGTAAACAATGCCCTTCTCATTGTGCGTTCGGTGTGTATTAAAGCAATAAGGTACGAGAGGTCCAATAATGCAACAGTTCGGGAGTCTTTTTAGGCCCGACAATCCACGAACTGTTACGTTATTAAAGATAAAGTACTGCTTCAAGTACTGCTACCTTATTGCCTTATTATACCTTGTTGCTTTTAAGTAAATAGCTGCCTTTCAGCACAAAATAGTTGTAGCCACCAAACGTTGTGTATCTCATTTCAATAGTCTGGAGAACAAATAGTTCCTGTACGTGCATGTAAACAGCATCAGGTCCCGCACCATCTCGTTCATTCACACGGCGGATGACGTCCACCTCAATTGTCCGGTTGGCAAAGCTCGCATTGCCCCAAACCCGATCATTTGTGGGATTTACAGGTTTTTTTTTACGGCGATCGTCACAGAGGTAAAAGGTGAAATGCCAAATCTAACCTGCTACTTTGAGTGCGCAGTGATACGGAACGCTCGGGTCAATGTGAACAGCACCTGCACGTCACCGCTCAATAATGTACCCACTCTGAACCAATCAAAACGCCGTATTATAAATATGTTTAAACTATCTTCATATCGCGTCAGCGATCACTAAATTAAATTGCAATCCAATCGTTTCATTCAGTCCAACTGGGTTTACTGGCGGACCACCTACCCTCACCCACTCAATTCTGAATAACTGTCTTGCTGTCGCTGTTTTCTCCAGTGTTACCGAACCCGAGCTTTTCAACATCCAACACAAATCTGTGTGTTTTCACGTTAATATCCAGCACAGTCTCACTCCAATGTGTCTACACTCTGAATCATGTTACATGCATAATGTCTTCTCAGAAGTCAGATCTTCACAGGAAAATATTTGTAGGAATGGATTGTGTTCTTTCACATTCACATTCTCGGGTTCCTATAGATTTCTGCGCCTGCATTTCCCGCGATGACGTTGCTGAGTCCACTGGAAACGGACCTCGCGTAGGACTTCACCTCGCTCTGACTCGATGGCGGGATGGAGCCCACTTTTTACACGGGATCCCGTGCTGGTTTTCTTTATCTGGTGTTTTTCTGTGCATCGAGGCAATGCAGAGTGATCCATTTGTTTGTGTTGCGCCTGTGCCAATATCTCAATCAACGCATGTGCGGTTGACTGATTCATTCTTCATCTGATGGAAATCGTTCATTTACTTGTAAGGATCTAATTGATCACAATACGTCTCTTTTAGCAGTTCTTCTAGGCCTTATATCACCAATGCACTCCTTGGAATTGATTTCTAAATTGTTGACAGCGCATGAGAACCCCCAGATGCAGCTACCTGTCAAAGAGGAAATATGAAGTCCTTGGGCGTGTACATTTCTTCCTGCTTCATTATTTACTGGCGGTGCCTTTTTAGTTCTCTCCCCTTTGGTTATTTCTCGGCTGTGTTATAAATCATAATCCAATCCCCTAAAAGCCGCGGTGGAAACAGTCAACATTTCTCTTCCACATAACGATGGCCCTCCTCGATGGTTTCAATATATTTATCAACAAATTGGTTACACAGCCCGCAAGTTGTACATCGAGTTCACCCGCATTAATTCAAAATGTCCTGACTCAAATTATAAACCGGAGCGTTAATTAATCAAATTTGGAATATTCAATAGGTGAAGCTGACTCATTTTTAATTCTTAAATGATTTGCTGTCTGTCCTCGCAAAGCCGTGGCCGCGAGTGCGTTTCAGCTGGCAGTGAGTTGCTTATTTTCGTAATAATGAATAAACACTCATCATTCCTCCGTAGCAGCATCTTTTTGTCTTCTTCTCGAAGGGAAACCGGTGATTACATGACTCAGTAATTCCTGGCTGCTTGTCTCTCTCCGTGAGCTCAGAGCGCAGCTGCGATCGCGTGGCCTGCAGGACGAAAACCACGGTATGAATAATATCACATCCCTTCCACGTTCCTACCAAGCGGCTCCCTGCACTGGACTCCACCAGCTTTTTGGACATGTCTCGAGTGCAGCTGCAGTGAGGCGTGGAAATGAAACAGAAATCTTCATCAATCAGCACATGTGGCCGGTTATGGTGGCAGCCCAGTAGGAATAAATAAAACTGCTTGCTTTATAGTGTTCAACAGTCCCGCAGGGAAAAGACCACCACGAGAGGAAAGAGTAAGGTTTTTTTTTCTCTTGTATAAAAACCAGTATCCTAAAATAAGTTGTGCTCTGTCTCGCTGTTGTCAATCATTTTGCCTTTTGCCCTCAGGCTGTCTTGCGTTGTGCGAGTGTGTGAAGTTATTATTAGATCATGCGATTGCTTGTGTGAGTGCATCCATGATCGATTGTGCGTCTCTGTGTCCGTCCACAGCAGATCTCACATTCTGCTGCAGTCCACTCCATCATGTTTGGGTGTGTCCACGTTCTCCAAACCTCTCTTTGTGCCGGTTTAGTCCTAATAGTTAGGACTCCGCGTTACTGCAATCAGTCGATATAACGTTATTCCACTAAGAATTTAGAAACACATTTGATGGAAATCGTTACAAATCTAATCATGACCCACCGATTGAAAATAATCGTGAATATTGAGACACAGTTATGCCGTTCCTTTTTATTGACGTAAACATTCCCATGTGTTGTAGGAAAAAATAGACTTGAATAATTGTATGGTGTTATTAGGGGACGGATCGGAGACGGATCGGAGGCGATCGGGGGACGGATCGGAGACGGGCAGTGTGGACGTCCGTGTTGATTTGAAACGAGTGGGGGCGTGATGGTGTGAGACGCGCCAGTAATAAAGCCGTCTGACACACTGGTGGTCTCGGCGGGGGGTTAAATGTGGGTTGTATTCATCACTCACGCAGTCAGAAACACCTGGCGGAGATCAGTGGCCCAATGAGCCGGTTCTACTTTGAGCTGGATTCCGTCTCCGCACCGTTTGTGTTGTTCCCGTTTTTTCCTGTCTCTTAGTCCTACTGGGTCTAGACCTGGCGTGTCCAATGGGCCGGGCGGTCTCTCTCCTTTTTAGAGAAAAGGCGTAATAGAAAGAAATGAAATGCCTGACGGGATCCACGTGGCCTTGTTATCCTAATTAAGATTGCACAGACAAAGAGCATCTTACATTATTAATTAAAAAAAAAAAGCGCCTGGCTAGTTGGTGTTACGATGCCTCGATCAGATTGCATCACTCGTGGTTTAAAGCGGCATTTGGCCGTAAGTGCAAACGTATGACTGAATTTTATTGACTCTCACGGGCGTCTTAACCCTTTTTAGTACATTTCTCATCACAACTGCTGACACAACTTCTAAATTGCAAAAGCTGCTCACGGTGCTGTTTTCTGTTGAGGTCAAAGGGCAGCCGAGAGGTTACGCTATGAAGCCAAGACGGATGCGAGCCGAACCAGGTGTGGCTATTTACACGCGTAAAATCTGACGAGATCTCTACACATTTGCACAACACCGTAGATCCACGCCATTCGGACAAGTGTATTCGGGACGTCTAACATTACATCCAGTTCCCGAGTCCCCCTGTATGACATTGTGTGATCCCGATGATACCAACATTAAAACAAGTGAGGTATTCAGAGAAGTGTGATTCACTTTGTGCCTCGTAAGGAAAGCAAGGAGCTCTGTGGACTAAATTCAAGACAGTAGAGCCCCTCTCAGCAGCGTGTCTTCAAATTCATTCATTCTATCGTGAATTAGATTATGAAATAAGCAGCCAGTAGTATAAAATGTTTTTTATTTTAATAGAATTTCCATCTGCCCATCCCATTTAAACAAGTATTTAAAGAGTTAATGAACATATTATCTTCAGAGCAGACCTTGACTGTGAAATTAATTAGACAACATAAAGTCCCTATGGCACAAAACTCCATTTAATGCATAAATATCGGGTAGTGCTCAGCTAAAAGCTGGAAAATGGGTTACTTAAGGCAAAAAATGAGTAACGTCAGCGTTTTTCTGATCAACCAGTGACAAAATCACCTCAGGACCGAGTGCTCGCACCCGCCGACCTGCCAAGTGGGCAAACAACCTTTTTTTTTCCACTTAATGACAAATTGTCAATCTGATAACTTTCTAGAGTAGTCTCTTTTTTTAGTTTAGTCACATCAAAAACACTAACTCAAGCAGAATCTGCTCTTTAGATCGTAATATTTCCAAAACTCACAGCCATTAAAAGCGTCACTATTGTGCCATAGCAAAATGTGCAGGGAACGAATAAAATACAGAAAGAATATGTATAGCTGAACATGTTAATACATTTAATGACACAGCTCCTTTGTTGGCAGAATGGAGCACATACTGTAGAAATGGCTCATTGTTCTTTTACTCAGTGTGTTAACATGCACAGATTCTCAAATGGACTGTTACCAGGTTAATAAATGATGCAACTGATATGTCTTTAAGATGAAGCCCAGTGGACAGTGTGTTTGATCCGTGATAAGTAACGGAGGTACGAGTTTTTGAGTTTTCTTCCATGTAAAACATCAAGGCCTCCAAATGATTGTTAATAGAAAACTATAAAAACATGTAAAATCACAATCCATAAATATTTTAAAAACATGACATTTTGTTATAATCTTACACCTTTCTCTAAATAGTAAGAACTGTTCCCCCAAACTGTTACTTAACACTTATAATACTGTTATTTTCCTCTCCCAACGTTCTATGTATACATTTTTATTTCAAACACTTCTTTATTTTCTTAAAATATACCTATATTCTTTACATATATTTTTTAATTTACCCAATATCACTCGCGTCATAAGACTGAATCGTGGCTCGTTGCGACATTATACATCATTCAAGAAAACAGAACGTGGGTTATCGTGCTTTGAACATCAATCAAAGCAAGAGACAACATTAAAATCCCGACAAGATATTTGTCTTAACTGGTGCTAATGGAGAGATTGTATCTGTGCACTGACACCCTTCCAGACATCGACCCGCCTTTCACGTTCATTTTTGTAAATCCAGCAGCTGTGACCCATGTGCTTTATTTCAACCTTCACCTCAATTTGGTTAAACGGAATAAGTGGGTTGTTGTGTGCATGTTAACATACTGATTGAGTATTGCCAATACAAATTTACAGAAATTTTCATTTCAACATTTATTTTTAAAGACTCGACACCCCAAGTAAAAAAAACAAGTTAAAAGTCAAGTGTATATCGTCAAGATGCTTTTGCTGCGCTGCCATTTCTATCGCTCGTCAACTTGAGTACACGTTTGAAGCGAAGATAGTATGCATCCCAACCGCAGTTTGTAAGATTGCATCCATTCAAAGTTCACATGATTTTCATGTTGAATTGTACGGCCGCCTCGGTCGGACTGGGCTCCTCTGGCTCGTCTTTAGGCGGCACGTACTCAACCTCTATACTTGTTGTTCTATTTTGTTTCCCTCGACTCCAGAGGAATAATATCACAAGACAGAAGAGGACGACTCCGAGGAAAGAGATAAATCCCATGGTGGTTGCGATAATGAGGGTCTTTATATCAAATGGAAATGGAACTGAGGCCCTGGTCACATTTCCACCTTCGTCGCTGGGCTGGTTTGAAATGAAGGCGAACGTCTTGTTTGGCTGGTGGGGCCAGTTGGGGGAGTAGCTATGCACAAAAAGGTGAGCGGCTTTGGTGTCGTTGCCTGCTGCGTTGCTCGCGATGCACAAGTAGGTACCGTTGTCTTGGATCTGGGCGTAGCGAACCTCCAATGTGCCCTCATTGGACACAGAAAGTCTTGACCCCGCAGTTTTGGTGGTGATGTAGTCCTTCTTGGGGGATAGCCACATTATCACAGGGACTGGATCGCCCTCAGCTTGGCAAGTGAAATGTACCGTTGTTCCGTCATCCACATGGCTTTCTTGGACCTTGTAATCCATAATCTTTGATTTCTGGCAGGTGAAATAGTCAGGAGGGAGAATGTCCGGGAAGTCCTTGAACTCTTTTCCTTGAACAACCTCTGGTGAAGCGCACATCGGCTGTTGTCTGTTGAAGTTGAGCCTCCACCGCCGGCGGAAGACCCAGAGCAAGCGGCAGTCGCAGGCCAACGGGTTTTCGTACAAAGCCAGAGTCTCCAGGTTCCCCACGGAGTGGAAGACGGACTCCTCCAGGGTGCTCAGGCTATTGCTGGATACGTTGAGCACACGGAGGTGGTTGAGTCCCCGGAACGAGTAGGGCTCAATGGCATCCAAATGCCCACCCGCCAAATGAAAAGCCTGAAGCTTCTGGAGATTGAACAGTTTGTTCCCTTCCACGGTACGAATGGGATTGAAAGACAGATTCAAAAAGCGGAGGTATCTGACGTGGCTGATGGCTTGGTAGGGGATGCCGGTAAGACTGCAATTAGTGACGGACAATGATGTGAGGTTGAGCCCAAACAAGCATTTTCCGGTCATGGTCTCCAGAGCGGGCATTTGGGAAATCTCGAGCACTCTGAGCCGATACAGCCTCTTGAAGGAGTAATCCTTTATGACGGTGACGTTGAGATAGCGTAGTCGCAGCGAGAGCAGGTTATGAAGATGGCTGAGGGCGTCAGTGGGCACTGAGGCCAGATTGCATCCCTCAATGTTGAGGCTTTCAAGGTTGCTTAGGCCGTGAAATGATCGAGGCGAGATGAATACTAGGTCGTTGTCACCGACCTCCAGCGCCCTCAGGTTGTACAGCTCCTGGAACATATAATCAAGGAGGATGACAATTTTGTTTTCGCTTATATCCAGTTGAGTGAGGTTGGTCAGGCCTGTGAACACCCCCAGCTGAATGAGCTTGAGCTGGTTGTTGCGCAAGCCAAGAGTCCGAAGGTTCATAAGGTTGACAAAGGCCCCGGGCTCGATGGACGAAATAGTGTTCTCGTTGAGCTGCAGCTCCTCCAGCTGAGGGTAATCGATGAACTCCTCGGTTCCCACCGTTTTCAGGCGGTTCTTGCTCAGGTCGAGCACCCTGGTTTCGGTGGGTATGCCCTCGGGGAGGGCTGCCAGTCGCCGTCGGTGGCACACGACGGAGCGCTCCTGGCCGTTGCAGTCGCAGCGGGAGGGGCAGCCAGTGGTGGATCCGGAAAGAACGGTGCCAAGCATGAGGATCAGGATGGGCTGCCAGCATGCCACCAAGTAGCTGTGCCCCCCTGCCTCGCCCAACACCATCCTGCTGCTTACCTGCAGAGACATGGAGAAAGAGGAGTGGACGTAAAAAAAAAAAATGCCAAAATCAATGTCGAACAATTCCATTTCATTTCTTTTAAACAGATCGTCGAAGGTCTCTAAGATTAGAAAGTGGCCCCTATTCAGCCCATGATCACATTATGTCGTCAATAGTGCGTGTCCTTCATACAAAATGAACACACTCCTGAAGGCTTCCGGCAAGCAAAAAGGACCGTGAGTCTATTCACTGACACAGTTTCCATTTATTTAAGTATTAACCGTACAACCAAATAACAAGGATATGTTGTATTTTATGGTCCAATAATGAATTTACTGAAACGCTTTCCTTACATTTAGTTCTCTCAAACGTCATTAAAATGCTTTTTAGTTTATAAAAAACGCCATGGCAGTTTGATGACCTGTTGCTTTGCCATTTCCCCAACGTAATCTACAAGATGAGCTGAATGTATTCGTCACACCATAAAAGAATCTAGAACTTTTGCAAAGTCAGTGAAAAAACACAATTCGGCTTTTATCTGCACACCTTTTAAAATGCTGCAAGTCTTTTCCCCTGCATAACATTTCATTATGGTAATTTCCCTCACAAGCAATGAAATCAGCCAATCATTAAAAGGACTTGGTCACACTATATAACCACCCTGCTGTGCTTCTGACTTCTGAGCACGCTGAAAACAATTACTGCCAATATCAGGGACACATTGTCTCCGCTCATACAGACCGTTTTTTAATTAGCATCCAAGAAAATGCCGCAGTACATCTTTGAATGGCTCTGTTACGTCCCCCTGACGTGATGCAGCATGCACTCTGTGTGTGTGTGTGTGTGTTTCAGGGCCGCCACGGCCCTCTCGGGTCCCCGACGAGCAAACCTGCGACGCGTCGCAGAAACGCTCCACATAAACTCCTCCTCGTGTCCTCGTGAAAAGGCCCTTTTTGTTTGCTGCGCCTCATGCAGCCCAGCTAAATACCAGAGTAGCGAGGTCAGTACTGTTTGTCCTTATTTCGAAAGGTTAGCCGAACTCTAGTTTCCAGTTAGTGGGGGGGGAGTTTTGTTTATTGTTTTGGCCTCTTGAGACCCTCATGTCCTCGCTTTGTTTTTTGTTGGGTAACTCGATGGTCAATAAATGTCACGGTTACTAACCTACGCTGGCTATTGCCAGTTTTCTTTCACCTTTTTGCGCTAAACAAATCTAGCGTTCGCCCGCGTTAAACCCTGTACCCTCCAAGCATTTAAAAAGGCTGTAACGAGCTCCCTGAAATATTTGCAAACTTAACAGTTCCCGTGCCGCTGCGGAGCGCCTGACCTCCCGCTGACCTGAAACAGAGATTTCTGCCCAGCGCTGACAAATGAGAGAGAAGGCGGTTGTCAGAGGACTTTAAACCCCTATTTGATTTCGACTCAGGGGAACTTTAACCTGCTAAAACCTTCAAGCTCAGCTTCGCACATCAATCACGCGTCTTCAGTTGGAGCTGGAGGAACAGAGAAATCAGGCCCTGGTTTGTGCATATTTTCGGCATTTTTTTGCTGAGCAAAAGCAGGTGAACGCTGAAGCAAAAAAATTGGTGGGATGTAATGAAGAAGTAGCGCGTTGCTTTGCATCGGAGGAGTAATTAAATTCCACATTATTGTGATGTCATTAAACAATAAACCGTGACGTAAGGAAAATGTGTCTTTTCGATTTCAAAGAGGAAATCCCATTATGAGAATATAATGCAGTCTGTCAGAATATTTATCATGCTTTCACACGTGGGCGTCGAACAGGCACCGCGTGTTCTGTCTGCAACTCATTCACCGGGAAAAGTGTTTCGGTGGGAGAGCTTCGCGTTATCGCTGTGGTGCCATTTAGAAACCTCCTGTGAGCGTCTTACCTCGCTCCTCCAGCGTCCGAGGAATAAATTAGGCTTGACGTCGTAGCGCCGACTGATTCTTTCATTGCGCAGACAAACATTAAGAATCACTCTCGGGTGAATTAAGAGCCGCGGGGGCTCGAGCAGTTGGGATTGTGGTCGGAGGAGTTCCAACGGCAGCGGTAATTGCGGCGTCCATTTTCACTTCCTCCGCGAGTGTTCTGCAGGCTGCATGTGACGGACTGTTCGGGGGCCTCGCGTAGAGCGTCGGGGGGGGAAAATAATAGTGAAAAGCTTAGGAACCTGTGGTTGCTTTGCTAACCAACACTCCAGTCTGTCTTGCACGCAACTGCATTTTGCATGACTCGTGCAATGGGGATTGCAAAATATGTTCTAAAACACAGAGGGGGACGTGTTTAGCGCGATCCGTTGTGACGGACGCTCAACCTTTTTGAGTCTATTAGAATGTTAATGTGAAAGCAGCACACGGGTTGCATGTTCATCGCAGTGTGATTTCATTCCATCTCCTCGCGTCGGCCCTGTGAATCAAACCAAGGCTCGCTGATGTCCTTGCGAATCAGAAAAAAAATCCTCAAATGCGGTCGGCGATCTGCTTACCAGAGTGGCATGCATGATTTATGATTCAGAGAGTAGTAAGGGCAGCGGGACTATCAGTGTAGTGGGGCCTCGCGGCTCGCTGTATCGCCACTTTGCGTGGAACTCGAGCTGAGATTCTGAAACGGAGAGCTGCCTCTCAGTTATTACGTTGTGTGCACACATACCGTTCTTACTCTTGCATTGGGGTCTGAAAAAAAGAATTGAAAAAGAATCCATTCTAGCACTCCATCCGTTGCCCTCTTTGTCCCCCTCCGCCTGATTCTTTCCATTTCTTTTCCTAAAGATTTTCGTGCATTGGAGGCACATGAGCATAGAAGCCTTTTGTCTTTTCTTTCTGCCCTTGCATTTTCTCCGCGGACCTCTCACCCTGTCACAGTCTCCTCTCAGGATCTCAACTGACTCATGCAAGTCATAACTCACTGAAGGTAACCAAGCTCTCTCTACTAAGCAGTTTGAAGCACTCACCGAGCTCCATGCGCTCGTGATGCATAATTTCCTCAAACGCTTTCACAAGGAAAACAAAGACCTGAAATATAATTGAAATGCTTTCCTGAGACGGAAGAAAAGGAGTGTCCCTGGCTGCGTTTTCTCCGCAGGCCTCTCAAAAGCATGTCTGTGTTCTCCACGAGGCTCCTGTTGCCTGGGATCCCTGCATCGCCTCCCACATGGCCTCGTGGTCTGATCCAGGAGAAAACCGAGGAGAGGTGTGCACCGCTAACGGGTCAAAGGATCTCTGCAGGCATCAGTGCATATATATATATATATATATATAATGTATGCATGTGTCCTTCTGGTCGGGGATATCTACATTATGAAGTGGAATCTGTGGCGTATTTGTGAACCATGTTCCTGTCGGATACTTCCAACCTGTGACAGCCGCCTCGAATCATCAATGCAGCTTGAGTTCTTAGAGCATTTCCCCTGGTATATTAAATAATTTAGCATTTTGTTTTCCAGAATGTGTGGGCAGGTTTTGGAAACTGGTGATGTGATTTCAATTTTTTTTTTGTTATAGCTGACAGATACTACTTATCACCATCCCGAAATATATCCTTATTTGCATTGTTTGTAATTAAATTTACATCAGAGTTAAGGTCCTTTTTTTCATATGATAATACATTGTTATGAAATCATAAATTACAATATTGTAATACAAAAATCTGTTAACCAAACAAGCACAGTCAAAAGTTAAATTATCTTATACACCAGGGTTCTTAATTAAACAACAGAAAATTAAAGTATTCAAGTATGAAAAATGACGGCAATGTTTAGTTTTTTTACATTCGACTATGTGCCCCTACCACATTTTTTACACCCCACACATGATAGTTGACGATGCCCCCCCGGGGAGCAATGAAGACTCATCTAATCAATGGGCAGGAATGGATCACAGAGGGTTTGGAGTCAAAGGAAGGGAAGCGAGGGGTGATGAATAGCGTTCGGCGACGACCCGTCCCGTGTTGTGGGCGGTCTGCGGGGACGCGGATCATCGGCGAGTCCTTCTGGCCCATTTCAGTTTTCACTCTGTTGTTCTGGTTTATTTGAGCAGCTTCACAGCAGTGAGACGAATGATTTCACACGTCGTGACGTAAGCGTGAACCTTCAGGAGCGATAACTGTTGTCCCCTCACTTCGCTAATGGTAAATAATAACTATCCTATTTTAAAAGGTTGCGTGTTGTTTAATGTTGAACGCCTCTTGGAATGAATATGTATTAGTCTGCTCGGAGATGGTTGTGATCTACGTAATACTGTAGTCTGAAAGTTTCTCTCACATTGAATTGAACACATTGGGACATTTGGCCAATACTCGTTTTTACTGAATAGAATCCCGGATGAAAGAATTCTGCTCATTATCTCCTCTCTTACACGTGGACTCATGTTGGCAAACATGCAACGTTTAGAGAATAGAATATGACACCAAAAACAAAGAGCTACAGCCGGCAAGCAAAAAGATGAAATGTTTGTGTTCACCTGACAAATTACAGGCAAACATTTTAAAATCCTGAAGCAAACAAACGAGAAAACCTCGACGTCAGCAGATAAAAGTGCTGATGTATCTGGGACGAGTCTCTTTTAGGAGACTAGTGCGGAATGCGCGTCTAAGCAGCTGATGTTTTCAGTGCTCTTTGCTTTATACTTTAATCATCAACATTGTATCTGCAAACCATTTTACATCCAGCCTCCAGATTCTCATGGGACGATGTCGACGGAAGCCACATATCTGCACACGCGACAGCTTTAACACACACCAACAGCTGCGACGTTACAACGAACCCCGGCGACCCGCCAAGATGATCAAACACTCGCAGGTTGAATATAGAGACACGTAAGAGCCACACCGACGGCTAATCTGTATCCTGCAGAGGAGCCAGAGGCGAGATACCAAGAAAACCCCATGAAAAACAAATCCTCCGTAGATAAAGGTAACAACCCCTGCAGGCCCGAGACGACGCAGCGTGGCGCCAAGCGTCGCCGCGCACGGATCAACGTGACTCACCAGAGGCAGCGATGCTCTCCGGCGTATTCTAAG